GAAATGAAAACGGTAGGCGCAGCTTTCGTTGACGAAACAATTAAACATCAGTTCAAGCTACCTAAGGAGTACTCCATATATTCCGCCGAAGTGTATGCCATATTTAAAGCCCTACAACATATTATCAAACCAGCCCAAATTGGAAGCAGTCATTTTCACAGATTCTTTAAGTGCAGTACAAGAAATAATAAGGGTTTACCCAAACCACCCAATACTATGCCAAATTAAAATTGATCTCGAAGAACTTTACAGTAAGAATAAAAGGGTAGAATTTGTTTGGATTCCATCTCATGTAGGCATAATAGGTAATGAAAAAGCTGATCGGGAAGCTAAAGAAGCCTGCTATACGAATAAACAAGATAAAGAGCTCCCAGAAATTCCTCTTTCCGACATTAAAAACACCATCAAAAAATTTTCAATGAGAATATGGCTCGAGAGATGGAAAAAAACTTGACGACAACAAACTAAAACGCATCAACCCAAATTTGTCACCAAAAGGGATAATGCCACAAAAACGACGAGATCAAGTCATACAACATCGCTTAAGAATAGGACATACCAGGTTAACCCACCAGTACCTAATAAAAAAAAAAAAACAACGAAAACTGTGCTATGTTTGTAATATCCTCTGACAATCGAACACATTATTGTTAGTTGTCCACTCTATCACCTGGAACGACTTCAAAGTATTTACCAAGTGATCTGAAATGTGCTCTGAACTATAGTAACTGTGATAAAGTGTCTAAGTTTCTAAAACTAACTAAATTGTACAATCTAATATAAAAAATAGACTTAAGTTATCAATTGTAAATGGTAGTTATAAGCAAACATCTAATTTTATGTACAACTCTTTCCCGCCAATAACCTTTCATGGTTGACGCGGTTTACTTAATAAAAAAAACAAAATTACAAGTACTACATTTGTGGTGGGTTTGTGAGGGCTTAGCTTAGGCATATTTCCAATCATGGTTGTTTTTTAGTACTTCGTAGCAAGCCGTATATTTTCTTTTTTGATTATCATCAACCAAAACATAATTTTTATGAATTTGATACGACGGAGGAGGTCTTGTAAATCTTTATCATTTGATGTAAACAATACTCATTTATTAGCGTAGTTCCCGTTATTAATTGTACTTTGCAAAAGGCTGTGCACTTATTGTAGTGTAAAATTATTATTGATTTTTCTATTTCATCGTCGCGTCTTCATACAAGAGCCATTGCTTTACTGTGTTTTGTTGAAATCATCAAGACATCATTTAGTCCTTCCATTTCAAAACAGTTTAACCTATGTTGATTTGTAAACTCGTAGACAAGTACCTCTTTAACTTTGCTTTTACAGTTTCGGAAGAATTATTTTTCAGTTTGGAAATAAAGTCCCCACTAAATGTATTTTTTTTCTTTTAAAGCTAAAGATAGAATTTTGTGACAGCTCCAAAACAGCGTTAGTGACAACGGAAATATTTTTTCGCCAGTTTCGCAATTTTAGTATTGATATTTTTAACCTTTTTTAGTATTTATAAACAGGAACTCCAATAAATTTGTATTTTTGTCTGGCATAATAAATGTTTGCGGTGCAATACCATCACGATTTAAGTATAGGAATCATTAATTACATCTGATAGAATCAGGGAGTCTTTAATAATTTATTATAACATAGTCTATTTGTGTTTGTATTCGAGCATAAAGTAGGTACCTGTGGGGCAGAGAGGTATACGAATCTTGATGAATTGGATTTATGCGAAGAACACGCATACAAAAAAAATAAACTTAACACGGAAATTTTGGCAGTGTTACATCTTTACTTTTACATTAAATTTTTTATTCGAATTGCGGCTTCGATTGACATTTCATATTTTTTTGTTGATGTAGATATTATTTTGAATTAACTAGAATACTGAAAACCAGTAAAAAATTTGATATAATAACCAAAATAAATTAAATAAAAATAATTAAAAAACAAATATTGATTTAATTATGTTTAAAAATGTGTGAGATAAAAATTACTACACTGTCTCTTAACTGTAAACATGCCGATATGACACTGTTTTATAACAAGATATCATATTAAAAATCACATTGTTAGAGTATAATAAAGCAAACACAAAGAAAAACAGCAAAAACTTTTTTATTTATTGTTACAAAAAGTTATAGAATATTGAATAACAACTGGGAATGAGATTATTCTTCACTAAATCCAAGAGATCTTTTTTCTTATTGTCTTTAATGCTAAGTACACTTTTGTAGGCCTGTTATAAGGTACTTGGAATGGTATTGTTTTTTCTTCAGCACATATCTACTTGCTTGAACTCTTCATCTTTATAGAAAGTTTTATAATATAGGGTGGTAGGATTTCCTTGATTTAACTTAAAAACTTTTCCTTTAGTAATCTTCAAAGATTTGATACCTGCCATGCCTATATCGTCACACAATTTTTTAAGCGAATGAAAATCCAAATAACCGAATTCATTTACATGGTAAGGTTCTTTCTTTTTTTTTTTGCCAAACGAATGATTTGTGCATACTGACTTAGCCTTCTGACTGGGATTAGCCTTCGCCTTTTCTTGGTCCGTTTCTTTTCTCGATAAATCTTTTTCTTCCAAATGTAATACATATTTGTGTTCCAATATTTCCTTAGCTTCTCCTATCACATTTTGTAACGAAAATATTTTGCCTACCACAGGGGGCATTAATACGGGAGATAGAAAATTAGGGGAAAAAACTATTGGGGGTGGAGATAGGGCAAGCAAAATAATCGCTACTGATGCAAACGGCACTCAGGGTTTCGTAACTGGCAATGGGGCAACTACAAAAAAATGAAATAAAGGGCTCTTGGGATAAACAAAATAAAAATAAACAAAAAACACCTCAAGAAATTTAATATAGGGCGCTACTTGAGGTGCCTAATCATGCCTATTACAACCACTAGTTTTAACTAGGGAAATAATTATACAACAACAAAAACATATCTTTTTCAAAAAAAAATCACAAAAGGGTTAGCTCAAAAAAATAATAAATAAAATATTAAGACAACAAAATTTAACCTTTATTTATGTGTCACCACAAACAGTTACAAAATGGAGAAATACAAAATACAAAACTTACGTGTCATCCGCTTACAAACTCCAGGAGTTGGAGATACTACATAAAACTACAAATTTATATGGAGGTTAACCTTGTTTAAAAATAAAACAAACTAATAACCAAAAAAAAATAATAAAAAACGAGCTGTCATAAGTTAACATTAAATTTCAAAAAAAAAACTAAACACACAAATTGACAGCTCAACTCAAAACCTAAAATTTACAATTTTAAATGTCAACGAAAGCAATTATTTAATTCAAAACAGATTGTCTGTCTTTACTTTAAAATTTGATCAAAAAGTTACCTGGATTTTCACTAACAAAATGCACTAGAATTTGTGGAACCAGACGCCACTGGAATATCCGAAACCATAACTGGAACTGAGGGCTTTACTCTCTGTGCAATGAACACAACTATCTATCTCCATATCTTCATATCTCGAACAAATCTATCTCCATACTGCCAAAAGCCTTGGATGATAACCGGGGAGAAACAAAAGGAGGATGGAATCGACGATTCTTTCATTCCTCACTCAAACATTTACTGAACCATTAACTTCACACTGCTACACATTTTCTTCATAAAAAAAGACGAACAAACGTCTTCATAAAAAAACACAAACAACGAGGAACATTTCGAATTTGAAGTCAAATTCGGACATAACGTTGACCGCTTTTCACCGCGGCTCCAACGATAGTAACGAAATTCTATTAAAATTGAACGCATACATACAAACGCTGACATAACAAGACACCACGAAACGACGTACATATCCTTTTGCGTCGCATAAACATGAAAAGAGATTGCCGAAGTAAAATAAACAACTCTCAAATGGTTTTATTACTCAGCGACTTTTGGCTACTTTGAAAGATATGAACTAACAAACACGGGAGAATTCCTCGTTTTATTTTTTTAAGTATATATAAGGAGTTTTTAATATATTTTATTATACGAGGAGGTTTCAATATACTCAAAAAATTAATGAAATTGAAAATGCTACAATTTTCATACGCATCACATAACTCACAGCGATCTTTTCTGGGTATAAAGAAACTAATATTAAACTATGTGTTAAAAATTGTTGAGAACATCACTAAAGCTTGCAATAAATTGTTTTACTGGCAATTTTGTCTATAGTCATTAAATATATCAGTTAAATTTTTTCCACCTTTGATGTATTTTCTGTCGGTTTGCTTGCGAAGATAGTGGCTGTCAATACGAGGAATGGATCGAATGTGCTCACGAACTTCGTCTTTAATCGATTGATCCACTTTTTTATGGTTTTTGTGTTTACCTTTTAAGTCTACTTCCAAGAACCATTTTTCAGCTTTGTCAAGGACCGCTTTTGTAACTCGATTGTTGATATCTAGCGTTGAAATAAAACAGTATTTGCATACGCAAACTTGCTCATTATTATTGATTTGAAAATAGTATGCATTATTATGTTGTCTAGGCCTCTTTGCACTGCTGTACCTGTGCGCTGGTTTGATTGGTTTCATGCATTTGTGAATGAAATCTCTCTGTCTATTTATATTTTCCATATTTTATTAAAATATTTTCCTGGTATTTTCATCTATTTTATTAGAACATTTTAGCCCGCATTTATCTCCACAAGCAGGTCTGATACTCCTGGCAACAATAGGTTTTTGTAATTTAGATCTTGAGGTATATGCTTGGACAGAGTTTCATAATGTCTTGACTTTGTTACTTAACCAGTGTTCTGCCACTGCTGCTCGTTTTTTCCTCTTTTTTAGGACTGTCAATTTTGTGTCTGCTGGATGAGTGTTTGCTGGTTGGGTGTCTGCTAGTTGAGTATCTGGTACGTCAGGTCCCGATCATTGTAAGTTTATTGCTAGAGTGTCTGCAACTTCAACATCCGGTACCTGGCTTACATTGTGTGAATTCAATAAGAAACCATTTCAACCTGGACTATAACTGCTGCTTGAGCTAAAACTGTCACTTGATGTAGAAAAGGAGGATGAACTAGAAGTACTAGAATCTGACTCATAGTTTGGATCTTTTATGGATTCATCATCATTATCGCTTACGAAGTCCGAGATTTGGAGTTGGTGTTTCCATTCTGGTGAAAGATCAACCCGTAATAACGATGTACTAGGCTTATTATTATCGTTATCCGTAACTATAACATAGTTTGCATTATCATAAGAAACAAGTGCAGCATTTTTTTTAAAAGATGTCTTTCTGAGATATCTGAAAAAGAAGAAACATTATTATAGCTAAAATAAAAATTTTAGTCAGACTATTTTTTTATTACTCAATATCAGATTACCTTAGTTTCGCACTTGATCTGGTGCATAACGCTCTTGGAAAAAGAGGAGATGGAAGAGAAGATGGAAGAAAGTACGACTTAATTTTAATACTTGTAGCACGGTTATCTTAATAATGGCTATTTTTTAGTTGAGACTCTTTTTTAACTCAGCTGGAATATGTGTATCAAAAACGGGCATTTGCTTCTTGAGCTCGAATAACAGCTCTCGTCTTTTCTGCCATAGACTGAATAAAAATAGCAATATCGTTTTGAGTTATTTGTTTTCGTTTGCCAGTTGTCGTGCTAATGAATAAGTAATCTTCCTAAGTTGTCATATAAGCTCTGGACTACTAGGAGGCCAGGTTAGTACCCAAACACCAACATTTGTGAAATATTGCCTTGTTATCCTGACTATGTGCGACCTGGCATTATCCTGCATTAGGAAAAAATTTCACTTGCAAAATGCATTTAAGTTACTACATACTTTTATAGATATTCCCGTTTTTTGCTTAGATTTATCGTCATACAGTCAGACATAAAAGGAATAAGACTGTATCCATCATTATAATTTACCTAAATGCCCTATCAAAATAAAAGATTACATCGATATTAGGAGAACAGAGACACACTCTTCTAGACATTTATAAAATAACGAAAATATATATATATATATATATATATATATATATATATATATATATATATATATATACCATACCATACCATTATATGTTCACCACCAAACTGTACGTCTAGGAAAAAACATACTATTTTGCAGTTATCAGGTGAATTGGCCATAAAACTAAAAATTTTCACACAGAACGTTTCTCCACTCTTCCATGTCAAAATTTGCATGGGAACGACATAATTTCAAGCGTTGTTTCCAATGAGCTGCATTCAATAAAGGGGCTGGAGCACATACGTAAGATGACAAACTGTTTGCTTAATTTTCTGCGTAGAAGTTTGCTTTATGGGTTAAACTATGGTACCAAGAACGTCTACCCATGTTCTAGTCGAAGCTGTTTCAGTAACTGTCTAAGCTCTCAACGCACTCAAAATCTTTCGAAGCAATTTAAGTATAAATAACCGAACTTCCACTGCGTTTGTTGCCTTTGGCCTTTCCTATCCAGGTCTTGCTGGATTGGAAAAAACCAAGATTCCCGAAATCTTTGTAAACCACCAGATATTTCTCTTCACAGAACGCCCAGCATTTCTTTGATTAACTAAAAAGAACGGCTGTGATTCGTTTTTTTTTGGAAATTATGCCCTCATTAACACACATTTTTCACTACGTGCTTTCTAATATCTAGTAGAGATAATAATTTTAAAAAAATGTTTGTTTAAAACCTTTTTAATTATGTCTTATGGCATTATTTGCTGTTCTTTTTAGAATTATTTGATCCACTCTCCCCTATATTAAAGAAATACAAATCGAAAACAAATTGCACATATCATAACAAGGCGGAGTGAACGAAAGAGAGGCGTTCTTTCAATAATTTATTTCGACGGATCATCTTGATACATTTTATTTATTATAACAATACAAATAAAATTGATTTATCAGAGCGAAAAGAGTTGGTTCTTCCATATACCTCGTCGTGGCACTCGTTCTTTACTCATGATGAATTGGTGAAAGAATATTGGATAGAAATAAACAAAATACGTGATTTTTTATTAATTTAACTTTATATTTTGGGAAAGTTGATATTATATATAACCCTGTAAACACTTTTTTACTAAATAACTTTTGAAATTAGTTTGTTAATATGACTCCTACAAACACTTTATAGGATCAAGTAAATCAGCTAACGAAATGGGAATACGAAATTAAATTGAATAAAAGGATCACCGAATGAAATGTACGAAAATCTAAAGACTTAGATATACACGTAGCGGTAAAGAAAGATCTTTGTAAAAGTAGTATATACAAGATACAGAAACGACACACCTTGGTGAAGTGAAGACAGAATGAATATGGAAAATTTGTGAACGAAAAACAAACTGCTCAAAAAGAGAAGTGTGTAGAAAGAGATACTTACTTACTTACATAGTCCTAAGCCTTTCTACCGTTAGGTGTAAGGCTGGTGGAGTTAAGTTTTGCACTGTTCTTCCTTGCTTTCCGGTCTTGTGTTAGATTTCGTGCACTTTCCCATGTCAATCCTATCTTCTCAACTTCTTTTCTGATTTCGTCTACCCTCCTAACTCTTGGTCTTCTTCGTTTGTTTTTCCCTTGCACTCTCGTTTCAAACACTCGATTTGTTATTCTTTCATTCGACATTCTACACACGTGCCCGAACCATCGTAGTTGCCCCTTCTACTATTTTTTCGTTTACTGGTTCTAGTTTTAGGTTTTGTCTGATTGTATCCTTTCTTATTTTGTCTGTCCTCTTTCTGTTTGCTATTTTCCTCAGGAACCTCATTTCCATAGCATTGACTCGAGATTTTTGTCTCCCAGTCAATGTTCATGACTCGCTAATATACATGATTGTATGTCTAACTACTGATTTAACGACTGCCGTTTTCACCTTCTCCGGTATTTCTTTTTTCCCCAAAAATATTGTTTTAATATTGTTAAATAAAATTTACAATTGTGTTTCATGGATGTAATTATCAAAATCGCAATAAGGTACTAGCTAGTGCTTTAAGCAATTTGGCAATTCAGCAATTTTTTTTAATCCAACAGCTGTTCCTTGAGAAAAGCCATACAATGATGAAATGCGACAGCGTTCATGCTAGACTTGAGAAATATTTTGTACGTCCCACAAATTCTCCTAGTGACTACATAGCTCAAATGAGAAATCTGCGATCAAAACAACCTTTTAATATTAAAGTTTTTTTCTTTTTAATTTTGAGAAATTGTGAAATAATATTCGGTCACTGCGACCCGAAAAGAAGGCGGGAGATCCCACCATGACTGACCTCTAGAATATCGTCCTGACGGAGAGATTTTATTCAAACTACGGCATTCTGACCCATTAAGCTAATAACACAACGAAGACTGAAACTTGCAGTTATTCAAAGACCAACCCAGCTATATTTACGTCCTATTCCAATAACCGAATCGAAATGGAGATGCCTACAAGACCTTAAACTCGTGTTAGAAAAAGATCATCGTAGTTTTTACGATTGCCTACCTTACCAGCCGGATAAGAAAACAAAAAAAATAAACATTAAATTCAGTGAAACCTCCTATGTGTCATTTTCAAGTATATTAAAAACTCGTATGTGTATGTTTTACTTTAAATATTTAAGTTTTGTTTCAAAATGACATTTGCTTGTTTTGTTAATCTGTTACGTCGTTAAAAAAAGCAAAAAAATAAAATTATAACCCTATAAAATGTCATTAAGTTGTATTATTTTTACAAAAACGTGTTTTTTTTGTCTCTTGAAAATTTTAGGTTTTAACAGATAGGAGATATTTCCACGACATCGACGATGTCTCCAAACTTTTTAAGAAAGTTGCACATTTGCATCATTTTTAAAAAATTCCCTCTTTAGTACAATGAAGCGACAATCTTTTTGAATGACACGTATCCTTGATATATTATGTGCAATAGACGTTCATAATGGTTACATTGTAGTCTAGTAAAATAAAGGACTAAGTTGTCGAAGATATATGGTCTGTTTTACATTCCATGTTCGGCAAGGAAGAACGCCGATCCCGTACCATACGGCATGTGTGAATGATTTGTGGAATTGGCGTTGTAAAACTGAATTATTGGTAAATAAAATCATGACATGACAGCGCTGTGAGCTTGTCGTGACTATTACAAAGGTTAATTAACGCTATCACGCACAAAATTTTATATTGGATCGGAACAATGCTCATCACTATGCCTTCATCAGCGTATCGCAGTAATGCAATCAACAGAGTGGGATTTTTTAAATTGGGATAATGTCAGGTGCTAAATTGTTTCCTGGTAATAAGCGCTAACTCTTCAATCTGAAATTAAAGTTTTGACATATAAATATAAAAATAGTGAATAATAGGTTAGGTTCATACAATCGTAAATATGAGATGGAAGAAAGTTTTTTACCAGGTAAGTCAAATACTAAACACCAAATACAAAAATTCCTAAATACCAAATACTAAGGCAACAAGGATTTTTAATAACAGATAAGTGAATTTAATCTATCTCAGGGATATCTAGTGGTTTAATGTTACATTTAAAAGTTGTGGTATTAGTATTAGATAAATAAATGCATACACCGCCACTCACACGATTTTTTCAGTCTTTGCGATATATTATACATACAGGGTGTTTCGAAAAGGTATGTCATATAGTAAATCACGCATTCCGGGGACAATATTAAATTTATTGAATCCAACTTACTATTGTACAAAAGTGTACACAAAAAAGTTACAGCCCTTTGAAGTTACAAAATAAAAATTGTTTTTTTGCATTACGTTCTAAACTACTTAGCATAAAAATGGACATGTAACTTTATTGTTCTGAAAGCAATTCTGGACCTATTAAATTGTTATTAACAATTTCTGCCCAAACATTAACTTTAAAAGTCCTTTGGTGATAAGTCGTTGTTTGGCTTGAGGATTTTCGTTGGTCCAAAAGCTTGTAGGCCTAAATATCTATTGCCCACATGCGTATTTGCTCTTGGCCGACCTGTTACAGCTCGCTTTCATAGAGACCAGTGTCTCGGTACCTTAGTACCACTCGTGATATTGTCGACTGATTTACACCCACTAAATTTGCTACATATCTCTGACTCCTTCCGTCTTCAATGAAGGAAATTATTCTAACCACTTGATCTCTCGTTAAATTTAAATTTATATTATTGTCACGACCTTCCATACTTAATATTTAATACAAAATTTTAAATTAAACGCAAACTGTATACTTTTTACAAAAGGAAAATATAGACTGATAATATAAAAAGCAGACGAAATAGCAATTAACATTATTTTTTTCTTAAGCAGTAAGCT